TCAGAATAATGTAAACACCAAAATGTTATGGTAATATTCTAAGAACATATAATAAATACCACATGAACAATCAACTTTCTAATTATATGATCAGACAACATGTTTTGTTTCTATTTTTGACAGTAAATATGAGCAGAATGTGATGTGTCATTAGAAAATATATTTTACAAAGATTATCTATTATTTTATTTATTAGTGTAAATGTGTAGTTTGTGCTTGGTGAGGTTACTGTCAGCTCTGTGTTCAGTGGTCTGTGTCAGAGTCTCTTCCTCTTCAGCAGCTGCAGTCGGTTCCTGCTGTAACAGCTCAGTGTCTCTGCAGTCTGACTGAGGGAGGTTTTTGTATGACGACAAATCACTGTGTGAACGGCCAAGCACTGTTTATATTGTGAAGGCTCTGACAGTAATAAACTGCTGCATCTTCAGTCTGAACTCCACTGATGGTCAAAGTGAAATCAGAGCTGCTTCCACTGCCACTAAACCGAGCTGGTGTTCCTGAATGACTTATGCTGACATGTCTTATTAGGAGCTTTGGAGGCTGTCCAGATTTCTGTTGATACCAGAACATACATTCACCGACATTATTACAGTTGGAATAAGTAGGAGGGTTTGTTTTACAGCTGATAGTGACAGTGGATCCTGGAGTAGATGTCTTTACTGGAGGCTGAGTCACAGTCACCTGACCGCTGCATCCTGCAGACAAAAACAAATCATTCATTTATCAGCAGAAAGAAATGAGAGAAAAGGCAACACATCATGTTTGAAATGTTGCTGAGTGAATGAACCTGTAAAACAGCAGCAGGCCAGCGTCCAGATGAGGATGGTGATGAGAGTCATGGTGGTTGTGGTTTCTGCTGTGTTGACTGACAGATCTGAGTCCTGCAGTGTTGAACTCACAGGACTATAAACCTTCTCAGTTCACTGGAGGATCAGCTGACAATGCAAAGCCTCCTCTCTATGGAAATGATTTCTCTGCTCTCAACACACTGAAGGCAACGTGGGACACAAAATCAGGAGAAATACTGCTTGGATTTACACCATCTATGATCTTAATGGAATACAAGGAAATATTTATATTAGAAGTGCAGTTGAGGATTAAAAGATGAGTTTGTGTCCACTGTGGTTGGTATGATATGTCTGTTTGTCTGTCTATTAATTTACTTAAAGGGTTAACTGTAGATAAATAACACATTTTAGTTCAGTTTATTATGAGTTTGTAAAAAACTATTATGAAAAACATCATATTTATATAACCATTCATCATCTGACATCAAACTGTATAAAAAATGACTTCGTAACAAGGAGACTGTAATCCTTTCTCCATCAGGTGTAGAAAAGTAAAACAAAATTAAAGAAATAACCTTAAATTGTAATAATAATTTCAATCCACATAATTTCAAAAACTTTGTAGATTCAAGAAAGTATATTCTTTCTTTTTTATTAGTAAGATCAGAGAGTGTTTTCAGTGGATAGATGCTTGTTCACAGTGCAGGAGGTTTTTGTACGGCCACTTCATGAGTTTGTATCACTGTGGTTGACCTTTGGTGGAGGAACCAAACTCATCGTTGACTGTAAGTACCAGAGATTTTTATTTCATACAACATATAGCAAATGTAACTATTATTACTATTATTATATTGAATGAGACTCTGATCAGTTCAGTGTTTGTATGTTGCTGATTATTTGTGTCATTTTAGCAAATAAGGCTGATCTCACCATCTGAGAGTAAACCTTACAGAAACCAACATTTATTTAACATTAAAAATGTACAGAAGCAAAATAGAAATTGTTTAACTGAAAAGAATGGATTGATTAATTAAATTAATTAACAATAAAATTGTTTTAAAATGTGATTTCTGTTAAACACGAACATGATCTTATCGTTAAATGCAGCTTATCTTTGTGTTCACGGTTCATTCATTTTACATGTCGTGAAAAGGAAGTGAAAGAGACAGATGACAAAGGTTTTAACTGTATTCACATGAGTGTTTCAGCTCTGTCACTTTAAACAGAAGAAAATCATCACAGGGATGAGTTATTCACTGTCACACATTATGAAACACAGATGAAGATGTCATCAATAGTCATCGACAATTAACCTTTTTAGTTGCATTTACACTTGAATCATGTGTCTGATGGTCTGATACTGAGTGATTTATGAGTGCAACAGCAGCACAAGTTATTCTGTTTTATTGGATCAAATATAGAAAATTACTAGTATGTAGTTTGTATTTGTTACCAAGCCTTCACTCTTATTACTTTCTCTTTTCTCCCCCTCTCCTCCCCACTCCTCTCCTCCAGTGGGTGTGGTGCGTCCCACCCTGACCGTCCTCCCCCCCTCCAGAGAGGAGCTGCAGAAGGACAGTGCCACACTGGTGTGTCTGGCCAGCGGGGGCTTCCCCTCAACCTGGAGTCTGGGCTGGAAGGTGGGGGGCAGCAGCAGCTCCTCAGGGGTGTCACACAGCCTGGAGGTCCTGGGGAGGGACGGCCACTACAGCTGGAGCAGCACCCTGAGCTTCTCTGCAGACCAGTGGAGGAAGGCGGGCTCAGTGAGCTGTGAGGCCAGTCTGAGTGGACAGAGCCCTGTCACTCAAACCCTGGACCCTGACCGCTGCTCAGAGTAGAGCTTCAGCAACACTTCCTGTCTGGAAATGATGCTGCTTCTTTGATAGAGATCTTGATGAAGCTGCAGATCTCCTCTGTTCACATATTTCTGCAAACTCATGACTCTGCTTTCCTTTGTAGCTTTCTGTTACTCGTATTCTGCTTAAAAGCTGTTATTTTTAAAATGTCAAATAATAACTGAATCATTGGAAAATAAAACTGTAGATTTTAATAAATAACTGACTTTGTATTTCTTTTGCAAAACATTATTCATTGGAAACACACTTTATCATGTTTCATCTTTCCTGCACACGTCATCATAAACTCAGGTTTCTATTCACTACATTAAACTTTCTATAATAATAGTGTGAAATATAAATTCTAATATATTTTCCATTTGTAAATAAATCATCTGAATAATTTTAATGTTACTATTACAGTAGATTGTTTTGTGCTGCTAAATGCAAAACCACTTTTGAACATTTGTTACTGTCAGTGGATATATTCTACTAGGACTTTTTGTGGGAAAATACATTATTTGATCATTTATATTCAACTTAAAGCTGCATTTTGTTTCAGTTTTATTTAGATTCATTGTGGTTCTGCTTGGTTACTTTTGTGTTGTGTGCACTGGACCAGTTATCCTCTTCACAGTCTCTTCACCAACCCTCTGCACCTGCAGCAAGCCGATTTCACTTCAGTCAAACTGAAGGGGTTTTTTGTAGGACTCTAAATCACTGTGTGAATGTTAGATCGGTATGCAAGCCCAGACAGTAATAATCTCCAGCATCTTCAGCCTCAACACCACTGATGGTCAGAGTGTAGTGAGAACCAGAGCTACTGCCACTGAATCGAGATGGAGTTCCTGAGAAGAGGTCTGATGTAGAGTATATAAGAAGAGTGGGAGCCTGTCCAGGTTTCTGAAGGTACCAACTGAGATCAGCAATATTTGAACTCCCTGTGGCGCTGATGGTCACAGTCCCTCCAGGACTAACAGACTTGGATTTGTCAGTCTGAGTCAGAAAATTGTTTGCAGAAGACTCTGAAATGAAAAATGAAATATAAATCTTGAGAATCAGTAGTTTAGATTATAATAAATTAATAGTCATTAGTTGAAGCCAGATTTGAGGTAAAAGGCAAGGTAAGTGATATTTACACTGAAAATAACAATTTAACAGTTTTTGATAAATTGTATAAAAACTTCTCACCCTGACTCAGAAAACCCAACATGACAAACAGAGTTATTGGCAACTTCATCCTGATGCAGTTTTCAGAGTGAGTGCATGAAAACAGTTCAGACTCTCTGTGACATCAGAACTTAAACTCTGAGGAGCAGTGATGCTTTAAAATCATGCAAAACATATGTCTGTCTTTGTCAAACTGTGAGGAAGAGATGAGGTGGAGTAAGTATAGGTTCCATCTCCCTGTGGACTGATTAAGCAAATGTAGAAACTTTAGACTTTCTGTTCTTCATCTCTCAGAATGTTTCTGACTTTGCAAAGTCTCCCAGAAGCCTTTCATACATTTGATAATATATGAATCATCATCACTCACATATGGAAAAAAATAATTAACTACTTTTTCTTTTTTTAAGTTAATTGCTCTTGGGGGCCCCCTAGTGGTCACAGGGCCCTAAGCAGCTGCTTAGTTCACTTATGCCTTGGGCCGGCCCTGACTAGTGCTACTTCTACTACTAGTGCTACTACTACTACTACTGCTACTACTACTACTACTACTTGTACTGCTGCTGCTGCTGCATCCCCCGCCATGGAGACAACTCGGTTGGGAAGTTTGCAGATCCTCAGCCGGATTTCAAACAATGATAAGACTTCTTATCGGAGGGAAATCAACTATCTTGCAGAGTGCTGCACAGAAAACAACCTGCTGCTCAACGTCAGCAAAACCAAAGAGCTGACTGTTGATTTTAATAAAAAGGAGGCAAAGACACACTCCCTTATTTACATGCAAGTAAGTCAGTCTCCACCCTTGGTCATGGGATGTACACGGCCCAGGACAGGTGGACTCTGCAGCGGGTGATTAAAACCACCCAGAAGATCATTGGCATCAGGGATATCAGTGAGGTGAGGTGCTTGCAGAGCCAAAAGGACACTTAAAGACAGCACCCAGCCAACCCAGCCACAGCCTTTTCACCCTGCTGCATTCTGGGAAGAGGTGCAGGAGCTTCTGCTGCCAAACTTAAAGACAGCTTCTTCCCTCAGGCTGTGACTGTTAAATTCTTCCTCAAAAAATTATTTCATTATTTTTTTTCTTTTCATTCTACAACCTTGCATTGTAACATGACAATAAAACAAACTTGAATCCTTCAATAATTTCTGCAATTAACTTTTATAAGGCCAGTTTTAGAGTAGGTATCTTATTGATGCCATAACAACATATGTATTCTATAACAACAAATGATAAAAATAGCAATATCTTCATCATGATGAACACTTCCTGCTCTCCTGATGTCAGATATATGTAAAGGAGTTAGCTTTGGTTAGCCTCAGTTAACCTCCTTTATGTGTCCTCACAGTGGGACTCAGTCTGATGATCAGTAACAACATCAGACATCAGTAACAAGGATCAACATCAGGTCTTCATAACGCCGGAGCTGCATCTCATCTACTCCTCATCATCAGAGCTGCCAATCAAACAGCCCAGCGGCATTGTGGGTTTGTGTGTGTGTGGGGGGGGGGAATAAAGCTCTGCTTATGTGACACTCGACAGCGTACTCGAAAGAAGATGCCAGCTGTGCCTTTCAGTCTGCGGAGCAGATGGATCACCTGCGATATCTATTGAGCATGCTCAGGACATTATGCAACGGTCTCCCAACACCAGGCATCATAAAAGTAAAAATCATCATTACCTCTTGCATTCAGTGTAATATTTCACAGTATTATTTATTTATTTTAGTATTTTGGGGGGCAAATTAACGTAGAAAAAAGGGGAGAGAGCGGCACAAAAGGTTTGTGGTTCACGTTTAAATAAAAGAATAAAGACCGAAGGTAAATATTAAGATCAAGCTCCATGTTTGATATTAATATTTACAGCCTAGAATGGAATGCTCGGTGGACATAACAACGGTAACTATGGGGGGAGAGAGGGGGCGGGGCAACAGGAAAATTCCGGTACTTTGAACATCAAAGCCACACTGTATTCCCTTTGTGATGTCATCAGCAGGTCTATATACTTCACAAGGTTCTGAGATAAAGTCATTGCATTTTACACTTCCACCATCGTGAGGTAGAAGATTCGTAGATTGGTAAAACATTCGTAAAACATTTGTAGATTCATAGAGGATTTAGATTAGTCAGACAGCTAAACACAATGACTTCTGACCTGACTGATCCCTTGTCCCCCTACTACTGGACAAGGTCTCTCTTTTCCATTTATTCCGGCTTGACAGACAGGGTGGCTCTTGTCAACCAGTTTGAGGAGCTGAAAATTCAACTTCAGCGGGAAAAGGATGCTGTTAAGGAGGCCTCTGAGAGGGAGAAATCTCTGCACATGGAGTTGGAAGACCTCAAAGTCCACCTACATGACCAAGACCTCAAGGAGCAGGAGAGCATACTCTTGCAAGAGGCCTCTGAGAGGGAGAAATCTCTGCGTGTGGAGTTGGAAGACCTCAAAGTCCAACTACATGAACAGACCTCAAGAAACTCTGAGCTTGTTGCTAAGTTCAAGCCTGAGGAAGAGCTGGTGGACCAGGTGTGTCAGCAGATGGAGGAGGAGTCCTGTGCTGTTTCACAGGACCCAGGACTTGTGGCAGAGGGGTACTCTACTACTTCACCGGACCCAGAATGTGTGGAGGAGGAGTCCCTCTGCTGTTTCACAGGACCCAGGACTAGTGGAGGAGCCCTCTGCTGGTTTACAGGATCCAGGACTTGTGGAAGAGGAGAGCCCTGCTATTTCCCAGGATCCAGACCTTGAGGAAGAGGCTAAAGTTTGCGAGGAGAATGCTGCAGGGGAGAAGAAACAGCATTCGGTCTGGAAAAGATTTCACCACTTCTTTGGTTTGAGGAAGAAAAAGAAAAGCAGGCAACAGGACTCTGCATCCAACGGTGGCACCTGAGTCGACTTCTTGATTCTTGACTTGAAGTGGAAATAAAAAATAAAAGTCTGTGCTAAAAATAATGGGAGCAGAATTGGTGCACGCGCCACCAAAGTGAATTCTGAAATGAGATTTTGAACCTACAGTTACTGCAGAACACGACAAATACAGATATCTGACACACAACTGTCTAAATTTAACATCTATCTTTAACATTTATTAGTGTCGGCGGGTTTCCCTTTGTGCTGTTCAGGGTGGACGTTTGCTTTCAAATCAGGGTTTCTGACGTTAAAGTAAAGTGGGAGCAGCAGAGTTCAGGTACTGTGTGTCACTGAGGTTATCACGTTTGGTTGAATTAACTCGACAGCTCCTCCGAGGTCCAGATACATTAAGACAGCATTCATGTTGATTTACATGTTTGCTGCTCAGAGATAAGAGCATTGTCCTTTTCAAACAAAACACTACAGATCTAAAGTTACCTTTATATGCACCTAACATGTGAACAGGTACTGTGGTCATTCACTGTGTTTGTAGTGAATTAACCGTCACCTACTTTTACAGTTCAGTGTGACAGGATTCCCACGTTTCCTCAATACAACTAAATTATTAGTCATTAGTTGTTATTATTGCTCCATTACCGTACTGTAACTAATATTACTTTAGACAACAATAATTGTGCACGTTTGCAGTGTTTAAAGGTTCAGTAATAATACGAAATAAACAAATCATTACCTGCATGTGCTGCTCTTCTGCATGACCTCAGCCCTGTGGAAGCCAGACAGCTTGCAGAATCCGTCATTGCTGTAAACTACAGGCCACTCCACGATCTGGGCGTTGTAGAAATGCAATGTCCTCACTCTTTTGTAGATTTGGACTTGAAGCTTTAATAAACTCTCATTGCATTGTCACAGGTAACATGTCGCATCCTCACTCTGCTCATGCAGCGGCAACTAACTCAGACTGTAAACACAAACATGACTTCCTCAGTCTCTTAAAGGAATACCACCTAATTCTCACAACATTACATCTCTCCTTTTCTTTCAAATGAAATGTCCTTCCTCAGTTCTAGCTTTACTTACTCTGACAGGACGTGGATTAACAAACATAAAATGTTTCCCAAAATAGGAGTAGCTACAATTCAGTCATGTTTCATTACTGTTATTCAAAATCAGACATATAACATTAAAC